ACTCGATGGCTCAGTGGTTAGCACCTCTCAGCAAGAAGGTCGCTGGTTTGAGTCCTGGCTTGGTCAGTCGGCATTTGTGTGTAGAGTTTGCGTGTTCTTCCCATGTTGGTGTGGGTTTCACAGCATCACCGGTCATTTTAAGCAGTGGTGGGAAAAAAATGTGTGCACGTTGTTCACTGGCTTGAAGATCTAAGCTATAAATATATGTATTAAACCACACAGTAAAAAAAATTCTGTTGTTTTTGCAAAAAAATATTTGCCAACTGTGGTTGCCAGGATAATTTTGTAAAAAAATAAAATAAAATTGTAAACATGTCTACAATTCAAAACTGTATATGTACAGAAAAATTATGTGAAAAAACAATATATGTACTAATTAATATGATTTACTAATATTAATAATGACAGCTGTGGTTGCCACAGTAATTATCTAACAATAATACATTTTAAAATGTAAACATCTTTACAGCATAAAACTATCACTTTAGTCAATTGTGTTTATTCATAATAATCGAAAAAAATGTAAACAAGTAAAATGGCACAACCACACCTAAACTAATTCTTTTAAGAAGACCAATGTTTTTGCGTATACTGAACATAGTTTGATTTCTGTAGCAACTGTAAATCATTTGCTTTACCTTTGACCATTAATACGCTAATGTGTATGTTACACAGTACTTGGTGATATAAATTCTAGATATACACAGATAATAGAAATTTGTATTCATTAACTATAAACAAGTCAACACTCAGTTCACAACACTGAGTTGTATAAAACGGCAGCTTACTACACAACTTGAATTAAGTTTGTAAATCCCATCATATTTTCTCCTCAAAGAATAAATTTAATTTACAATTTATATTTATCATAAATAATGTCGTAATTATGATAGTTATTTATAGTTGAGTGATTTTAAGACATAGCTACTTAAGACTGATATTGACATATTTTCTGTGTATTTATTCATTCAAAAGTACATGTATTTAAAGAAAAGGAACAGCAATCTGCAGTTTTCATTGTCATTGGAAGCCAGAATCTAAATTTGAACCAATCTCTTGCACAGACCTAGTCATTATACCATCTTTGAGAGCAGCTTGCGCACTCTACATATAGAGAGGATTTGTTCTGTGAAAAGGAAGTAAACGTATCAATGCATACAGTAGTTTTGTTTTTTGTGTTTTGTTTTTTTACAATTTTGTTTTTGTTCAAGCTGCGTTTAATGCTCACATGGATACAAAATGTGTTAAAGCATGTTCAGGCACAATAATCTTTCTAAAAAAAGAAAATAGGTTTTTACATAGAATGAAATGTGTCACCATGAATGAAACTAAAGGCTCTCTCCCTCCACAGATTCAATGGGGTGCCGCTGGTCTGGTAATGGCTGGAAATTGTGTAATTTTTCTGACTATTCTGGGTTTCTTCCTGATATTTGGAGGTGGAGATGACTTCAGTTGGGAACAGTGGTAACCCATCAAGATGAAGAACATCACTAAGATTCAATCTATGAAATATAGTTTATTGGCACAGGCCTTGGCATAGGTTGATTTGTTACTCTAATTAAGTTTTTTATTTGTCTCGCTTGGTATGTTCATGGCTGCATCTTTCTGGTGATTTGCTTATAAAAACTAAATTAATGAAATAGGTAACAATTCCATTTATATGAACTTGTTTTAATAAAAAGGGGAATTTGTAGTGTACAGTATTTTTGTTGCTTTGCAGTCAAATCAAAGGAAAAACATCTAATCACAATGTTTTCTGTAAATAAAATTAAGCCTATTTTTTAGCATTCATTTTAATTTAAGATTGTTTCATAAGATTTTCATATTGTTACTAAAATATACATTATATAGAATAGCTGACATATTTTTATTATTTTTGTTAGATTTGTATTATTATCATTATTATCATCATCATCAACAAAGTCATAAAAATAGTACATTTTCTTCATTTGAAATATGTTCACCCGATTCATAATTATGGGACCAATTGTTGTATGATATTATTTATGCAAGACAGTAAAGCCATAACTACAATTGTTTTAATTAGGTTAAAGAGCATATTGTAGGTTAGACACCCCAGTGAGTCAATGTGCGTAAAAGTAGGAACTAGATTTTCTTTAAAATAGACGTTAAAGTTTATTTTTAAGCCCTCTGGAGTCATTTTTAGACACAGAAATGTTCTTCCACATTTGAAAAATAGCCAGAGCGGAAGTGAAGTCACGTATATAAACAGTTTGATGACAACTGATCGGGGTTTGCATTTGGATGCCGAGATAAGATATTCTGAGGTTTTCACACAAATGCAAACCACAGCCATGCAGTTATGAGCCTGTGGATAGACCAGCAGACAGAACCGCTGTCAGAAAAGAGTAATTGAGCTGTAATGTGAGGAGAACAGAGCAGGTTCTTGGTGAGAGGGTAGTGTTAGCTTACAGACAGATATGTTAGATAACAAAATCTTGTCCGGCAATAGCAAAGCTAGTATTGATCATCTATAAGTATTAATACTTACCAGTAACATAAACTGAGCATTTAACAGATTTATGCCACATTGACATTTTAATGTAGATAAGTGAATACAAAACACAAATAACACAGAATGTCTGGAATAATGCAGAAACATGAGAACAAGGAACTTGAAAAAAATGTTTAGACAAAAGGTTTTTATAGCTTTTGTATTGAAATAAAAGCAACATCAAATATTAAAACAATTAAAATAAGTTTTAAAATAATGTTTCTTTTTTACCATGGGTTTAAGATGATCCGTGTTGGGTCCCATTTTGGCTATAATCCATGAAAAAACACAATCACAAGTTGTGTTACTTTATAGAGTATTTACAAAGATTTGATATGCATTCATAACTAAATAAATGCTTATTTTAACACTAATTCAAGTTCAACTTCTAATTGAACTCAAATTCAAGTTTTATCTATATAGCACAAAATCATAAGCACTGTTATTACGCAGCATTTTTACTTTTTATGCATGTATAAGTATCTGTGTGAGTGTGTATAAGTAGGTAACAAACAAACAAACAAATTTCACCGTCAGAGATGCTGTAAGGGCTGATGCATATATACTGGGGAAATAATGCAAAAGTTTAAATCATGTTTATTAGACATGTATATTTCAAAATGTACTATATGATTTTTAATATAACACAATACAGAATACCCAGCCACATTTGCAGACCCCTGGATAGTAAACAGCAAACCATCTCACAAATATAGATTGTACCCATTACAAGTTGAGCATGTGTGAACAAACTTCAATTTTTCAAATATTATTGTTTTTCGTTCTCCAAGATGAATATTCCTCATGTGAATAAAAAGTGCAGTTCCCATAAACAATAATATACCAGGATGATGATAAATTACACCAAAACTAGCTATATGTATGTATATATATATATATATATATATATATATATATATATATATATATATATATATATATATATATATATATATATATATATATATATATATATATATATATATATATATATATATATATGTGTATATTTATATATTTTTATTTGTGGGAGAAAAAAAAAAAAAAAAAAAAAAAA